TTTGCCAAAACATTTTTCCTATAGGCCTTCACACTGTAAAAGAGGAAATTTTGTTTGAGTACATAATTCCATTATACTGTTTAAAAGTACTTTATTTCCCCAAGCAATCTCCCCTTTACTGAAAGATTTTAATGATAATGTCATTAACTATGTAAAATTACCATAAGCAATTAATTACATAGCTCAAATGCTCTTGTATTTATTTTCACATACTTGGCATAAAAGGGCATATAAATTCAACATGGTTATCAAACATTTTATTAAGGAAAAAAGGTCAAGGCTTGTGGTAGTCAGGTTTGATTAGGCCAAATTTCATCATGCTGCAACCGTGACCGTAAGAATTACACAATGTCATTTCTGCTACAGTGGCAGAATACCGTAGTGGCGGTATACTGCTATCACTACCACTTCAAAAAAATTAAAAATGGTTATTATCTCATTACCGCCTCCACTAAATGCAGGGGGAGTGGCTAGGAAGATAAGGAGTATGTTACCAGACTTAGGCTTTTATAAAACCCATCTCAAGGTAAACTACTTTTAATATATTCATCCCAGCAATTAGAAACTCATCTATTTCTATAATGTTTCTCAGAAATTTCCAGATCACTCTAATTTTGAAAACAACTCCATTTTTATGTATTCCTTAAGACAAAAAAAAAATCTTTTTTTTCCTTTAAGGTATTCTCTACCTCAACACACTTATGCGAATGACTATTTGCTGTTTTAAATTGGATTTTCCAGGATGTTCCTTGGTTATCAATTCCATTCTCCCTAATCTCTGGGTATTTATGAAACACAAAATCACTGACTGAAGTAAAATAGTGTTAGGAAATGAAATTCATTGCAAATAATGTGCAGAAACTTTATCTCAAGTCTATGTAAAAATGATGGCTGTATTTCACCACTAACAACGCATCGGGTTTGGGTTAAAGTAGAATTTAACAGCACTTTCTAACTTTTCATCATTGAGGCAGTATTTCTGATTTCCCAGATGTCTCAAGACCATTAAGGAAGGAAATGGGAAGCACTGCAAGATGCTTCCTGGACTTGCTGTTCCGAGTACAGCAACTCACTCGGTGTTCTGGTTCATAAACTACGTTTCACAGAAGACGAGTTTCCTACACAAATTAGCCCATCTTCCATGTCTACTATATGCCATATGAGGTCCCTAATCTAGAAAGCAAAGCCTAACATATTAGCATTCCTCTGTGATTTACAACTTCACTAATCCTGAGAAGCAGGGAAGTGATATTAAATGCTTCAGGTAAAAAAAAATCATAATTTTGTCTTTTGGAAGACAAAATATTTTAGTTTCAGTTTTTATTAGCTTACAAGCTACGAAGGGATAAAACCGTGAAGAAATTCCTTACTCAGGAAATTCGATACAGTCATTCATTAAAATGAGTGGAAATAAAAGCAATTCGTTAAGCCCATATACTATTAACTGTAAATAACATGACCCAATTACTCTGAATTACTTATATAATACCATCATCACTTAATTCAGTGAAAGTGAGAGTCAGCTCTATCATACCGTTTCTACAAATAATAAAGCCTAGGCCAATGCTGAGTTAAAATTTTCAATACTCTTTCACTTTCTAGATTAATCATTTCTGAAACCAGCTCAGGAACAAAAATGAATTTTAACTCACGTTTCTCTCGCAATAATTTTACTTCCAACAGCAGCTTGAATTGCTATCTCAAACAGCTGCCTAGGAAGAGAATCCTTTAGCCGCTCACATATCGTTTTGCCGACCAAGTGTGCTTTGTCTCTGAAAC